GAAGGTAGTGAATGTGAGGTATGTGTCTAAAAAAGATATGTTAGCAGATCCATTGACCAAACCTTTGCCTAGAGATGCATTTGTCAGACACATTAGGTCTCAAGGCTTGCGTAAACTATGAGATACTTTATTTTGTTATTTATTTTCCCGTGTTCACAACACTAATGTTCTTTGATTACCAGTAAAGTTGATTTACATACATACATATTTTTATTGTTGAATGTTATATGCATTCTTTATTTTTTTTGATAAGTATATCAGGTAGACAAGAGGTTGGCCTTCTCACACAGGCAACCGCCTCCTTATCTTAGTGATATTAGGAGATGAGGCATGGTTTTAAGCAAAACTATCATAAGGATAATTTGAGAGCTATTCGCTTAAAATCAAAATGTCGCTTAAACAATGGCATAAGGTCATTAGGGTGAAAAACGTTCACCTAGTCTACTTTGTGAGCCAGATGTAAGTTAAAAATGATATGTTGATCAAAGAACTCAAATTTAGATACTTATGGTGTCTAAATATCATATGTACATCATTATTTATGAGATAAAGACATACGCTCCTTGGGAAAAGGGAGAAAATACTATAGCATATGTTTCATACCATGTTTGCTAATGTCGACCAATTGGGTTAACATAAATCCATTCTCAACTTATTGTTGTGTGAGACCGGAGCTTTTATGATGGCTCAAGATTTTGTACCCTCAGAGATTCCAATCAGATACTTGAGAGTTGAGACTTAGTGTGATGTTAGCTATCTTAGTGTGTTTCCAAAAGACCATGTACACAGATTCGGTCTAGCAGAGCATATCTAGAAAAGCAGTCATACTAATATTAAGGGGATCGTGAGAAGAGGAAGATCATTGATGGAATCTCATTTATTTGTATTCACTGGTGCACCAATTATAACTTATTAGTTATGGTTGTGAATACAAGAAATAATGATATATGAGATTTTGAGACTATATCAAATGTGATTTATATGATCTAGGGTACTGCATACTTTATGATCTACTTGCAGGTTTGACTCAACTAGAGACTATATACTCCTAACAAATGTATAACACTTAGTTCTCATAGTATGCTGGTCGCACAGTCTACTTCCCTATATGAATGATTGAGGATATGAGAATATGTTTCTCAGATTAGATGAGCACTCCCATTATGTATGAGTGGGAGATGTAGGAAAATTGGGTCCACCCATAAGGGGTGCTTTAAGGCCCAATAGGGTTATTAGTTAACCCTAATATTCCCTATGTAAGTACACTTACTGTGTACAGTAAAGACATACTCTGAACAATATTTTTTCTCTCTCTCTCTCTCTCTCTCTCTCTCTCTCTCTCTCTCTCTCTCAATCCAAACAAGGTTTTAGACTTTGGATTTGGGGGTTGCTCCAATACACTGTGACAACCACCGCAAACTAGTAATTCCTGCCGCGGTTTGTCTGTTCCTTCTGCTTCTTCTATAAGAACAAGTAAGTTCTCATTTTACAATTTACGCGCTAAATCTAATGTGTTTAGATTAACGTGTTTCTTCAATTTTAAAAGGAACGGGAATAGAAACAAGAAAATTGGTATTGTCCTTCANTATATATATATATATATATATACCTAATTCAAAAGCTCGAACCAACCTGACCTGTGTACATCCCTAATGCACACATACTTGTGTCATTGCCGTCTGATGTTTGTACCTTTTTAACCACTACACATCATATCCCTCACAAGGAATGAGCTACTTCATAAGTCGCGCATCAAATACATCAAATGGTCATTTTTTTGAACTTTGCATTCGATATGCTCGCAATACTTCAAAATTCAAATACTACTGATGTGATGCCAAAATGCTTTACTTTTAGCACATTACTCGCCCTATATTTTGTTGGTCTAATGAGTTATTGTGTTATATTTGAGCTAAATTATGTTGTTTTATGTGTAGGAACATCAGAAAGAATCATCAAATGAAAATTGCACAAAAAAAGGACAAAAATACAAGAAAAGAGCACAAAAGGATCAAGTATCCAAACTGTGCTACAGACCAGGCTTTGCAGGTCTATAGCCAGGTTGACCGTGCTATAGACTAGGCTTTGCGAGGTCTATAGCCAGGTCGACCGCGCTATATACCAGGCTTCGCAGGGTCTATAGTTAGGTCGACCGCGCTATAGACCAGGCTTCGTGAGGTCTATAGCATGGTAAATACAAGTCGCAGGTTAAAAGACCCAAACCCAAAATTGGACCGAGGGATTGAAATAAATACTCCCCAAATGAGTTATTCTAGGGTTGGCCATGATTTTAGAGAAGAAAGGCTGCCAAGCACTGTGGAGCAAGAATCAAACGAGTTTTCCCTTCCTTTATCTCTTTACTTTGTAGTTTCATGTCTTTAAACATTATATTGATTGTTGTTGTATTTATGAGTAGCTAAACTCTTTAATCTAAGGTTTGATGGAACCTATTGGAGGATGATTCTTTACTGCGTTTAATATAGATTCTACTTGTTCAACTATATTTTTATTGTTGTTAATTGAAGAGCTCTCAATTAACTGTTTCTATTTAGTGTGTATATTGCTTGAGAGAGAGTGCACATTTAGGTAGTTGTTGAATAACACCACTGCTAACGTAGTTGAGAGATCGATACAGAGGGTTTAAAGGTGGGATTAGAGATAACGAAGCCTTGATGCGATCGCCGTGAGCGGTAAATTAGTTCCAGCTAGCGTAGTTTGAGAGAATACGTCTAGTAATTATAGTAGTTACTCGAGATAGAGAGCTACATCACTTAAAGTACTCACGATTGGTAGAAAATATTTGGGCGAATTCATAGGAATCGTAGCGGGAAAGATTCCGACAATAGGGGAAATCATAACCTTAGACTTTTCCAAATCTTGTCTACAATATTTGCCTTGTTAGTTATAAATTACTGCATTTTTAATTACTTTGATCTTAGTTAGTAAACTCTCAAATTGTTTTATAATATTTCTGAAGGTTGATTATTTGAATTCATGCAAAACTATTAGTTGTAATTAACATGTTATTTCCTTGTGGGATTCGACTCCGGACTTGTAAACCAGATAATATTTGCAACGACCGCTAGACCCCTTAGGAGGCATAGTTGGGCGTGATCAAATTTTGGCGCCGTTGCCGGGGAAGCAACAATGTTACTAATTACATCTATAAGAATTGTTAGAATTCTTAGTTTAGTAAATTTTCTCTATTTTTATTCATTACATTGAAATTCTAACGTTTGTGGTCTTGTGTGTTATAAGTGTATGCCTAGAAATTCTTCAAGAACGGGTGAATTGTTTGAAGCATTACCGGATCCTGAGAAAACTTTCAAGGCATTAAATCGTGCAAACAAGAAAGACAAACTACATCATCACCCAAGAGAACAAATTGAACCAGACATGGGTGATGCTTTGGATAATCAAAACAATCAAAACAATGTGAATGACCCGAATAATCAGGGTGTGGCACCTCTTGTTCCAGAAGTAGCTTTGTATGACTGGGCACAACCCACTGCTGAAAATTTAGCAACTGCAATTGCAGTCCCTCAGATACAAGCGGAGTCATTTCAAATCAGAAACAACATGCTACATCTGCTGCAAAACAAGAGATTGTTCTCCAAGTCTTAAATTGAAGATCCACAGCAACATCTAATTTTTTTTTGTCAATTTGTGTCACGTAAAGGCAACCAAATATGACACCGGAAGAAATAAGACTATTGTTGTTTCCATTCTCAGTGACAGGAGAAACCCAAACTTGGCTTAATTCTCTCCATATAAATTCCATCACAACTTGGGAGTAATTAGTCACGCAATTTTTGAATAAGTTCTACCCACCCAATAAGACTGCCAAGCAGGTTGATGAGATATTGAGCTTCAGGCAGAAACCAAGTGAAATATTACAAGAAACATGGGAGAGATTCAAAGGTATGCTGGTTAAGTGTCCACATCATGGCATTCCAGATCAGATGTTGGGACAACTGTTTTACATGGGATTCGCGGACAACTTGAAGGACAATGTTGATGCTTCAGTAGGTGGAGTATTTTTAAGCAAGTCATTTAGAGAGTTTAAGGTCCTGCTAGATAAAATGGCTCAAAACTCGGGATGGATGACAAGAGATTCCACAATCACCCCTATAGTTCACTCAGTAGCATTGGACCCGAACAATTCCATAGCCGAAAATATGGCCACTCTGATGACGCAAATGAGTATCCTCACCAAGAAGATTGATGAATCAGGCCAGAAGCAGGTACGCATAGTTGACACGACTAATGGGGGATTGTGTACACCATGCATTAACCAACCATACATGTGTTCGTAGAGTGGTGAAAGTGACAACCAGAACTATCAAGAGAACATGAACTATGTGGGTAACTATGGAGGACAAAGACATGATGGTCAGAATTGAGGGCAACAAGATCAACAGTATAGACCAGCACAACAACAATACAATAATACCAACAACCCCGGAGCTATAAGACTACAGGGTCAAGTAGTACCCTACCAAATTCAACAAGGATACAACCAGCAAAATCAGCAGCTAACTTATCAACAACCTCAACAACAGCAGATAGAGAGGCAGGATGATGAGTTATCTGAAATTAAAAGAATGTTGCAACAACTCATAGGGGCCAACGGGAAAATGGAAGAAATGGTCCACCAAATGCAAGAAAAGGCAGTGTCACACGATTCAGCTATCAAGGGCATTGAGATTTAACTAGGGCAATTATCCATGGCCCTTAACAATCGTCCTCAAGGGACATTACCTGCAGACACACATGTCAATTCAAAAGAGCAGGGCCCGAAGTCACTTATGGAGGTGCGCTTGAGAAATGGTAGAGATCTTGATTTAGAGCAAGAAATTGCTCATGAGAGCCGGTCAACTGAAACACTTTTGTTAGTGCCAATTGAGTTAGATGAGTCAACATGGCTAACAGAAGTAAGAGTGCAACCGGCCCACGAGGAAATAGACAAGGAAAAATAGGTTGCGAAGGAGACTGAGAAAATGCAAGAGAAGGTTTTAGAAAAAGTGCCTGAGCAGGATCTAACTCAAGCCACAGAAAATAAGCGACCTCCAACACCTTTCCCGCAGAGGTTGGTCAAATATCATAAGGATGAACAATACAAAAAATTCATGGAAATGCTGAAGCAAATTCAGATAAACATTCCTCTAATTGATGCTTTGAGGGAGATTCCTGGTTATGCAAAAATGATGAAGGACTTGATGTCTCGTAAGTTTGACTTACAAGACTTGGCAACTGTCACATTGACACAGACTTGTAGTGCTGTTGTGTCAAGACCTATAGCTGAGAAGTTATCCGACCCTGGAAGCTTCACAATTCCATGCACCATAGGTAACTATGCATTTGCCAAAGCATTGTGTGATTTGGGAGAAAGTATAAATCTGTTGCCATTGTCTATCTATAAAAAGTTAGGCATTGGAAGAGCAAGGCCCACATCCAAGTTACTGCAACTAGCTGACCGAACGGTGAAAATGCCATCAGGTATACTTGACGATGTACTTGTGCAAGTTGGAAAATTCATATTTCCAACAGATTTTGTCATTCTGGACTGCAAGGTTGATGAGGAGATTCCCATAATTTTGGGAAGGTCGTTCTTGGCCACAGGGAGAGCTCTAATTTATTGTGAAATGGGGGAGCTGAAGATGAGGCTGAATAATGAAGAAATAACATTTAATGTGCAAAAGTCTATGTGGCGACCCAGTGAGTTTGCAAATTGCTATTTCTTAGACACGGTGGATGTAATCATGGAGGAAGATGATGAGACACTTAATGCAAAAGACCCTCTAACAGGCTGCCTTATGAACTTAGAAGAAGTAAATGGTGAAGACTTGGCAGAATGGGTGTTGGTTCTTCAAGGGCAAGGGTACTGGAAACAAGAGCTCGAATTTGAGCCTTTACACTCGAAAGAAAGAAAAAACCCTTCATCCAAGCCATCGATCGAAGCACCACCACAATTGGAGCTGAAACCGCTTCCATCTCACCTTAGATATGCTTTCTTGGGACCTAATTCGACTTTACCTATTATTATCTCATCTGGTTTGTTAGATGTGCATGTAGAACAACTTTTGCAGGTGTTAAAAGAGTGCAAGAATGCAATTGGTTGGACCATTGTAGACATTAAGGGTATCAGCCTGACCTTCTGCATGCATAAAATTCTACTGGAAGATGGGCACAAACCCTCCATAGAACATCAACGAAGGCTAAACCCTAACATGAAAGAAGTTGTAAAGAAGGAAGTGATTAAGTGGTTAGATGTGGGAATTATTTTTTCCATCTCAGATAGCAACTAGGTTAGCCCAGTTCAGTGTGTGCCAAAGAAAGGTGGGATGATTGTTGTGCAAAATGAGAATAATGAATTAATCTTAACAAGAATAGTCACAGGATGGCGAATTTTCATGGACTACAAAAGATTGAACAAGGCCACCCGAAAAGATCATTTTCCCTTCCCGTTTATTGATCAGATGCTAGATAGATTGGTAGGGAGGTCCCATTTTTGTTCTTGGATGGATACTCGAGGTACAACCAGATATCTATTGCCCCGGAGGATATAGAAAAAATGTCATTCACCTATCCATATATCATTTATGATTTTCGGAGAATGTCGTTTGGCCTATGCAATGCACCCGCCACATTCCAAAGGTGCATGATGGCCATCTTCACAGATATGGTAGAGGATATAATGGAGGTTTTCATGGATGATTTCTCAGTGGTGGGGAAATGCTTTTGATGATTGCCTTAGAAATCTGAAAAGAGTGTTGCGGAGATGTACAGAGACTAATTTGGTGCTGAACTAGGAAAAATACCATTTTATGGTATAGGAAGGTATAGTCTTGGGATACCTAGTGTGAAGTAAGGGCATTGAGGTGGATCATTCCAAGATTGATGTAATAGAGAAGCTTCCACCACCCACTTCCATCAAGGCAATAAGAAGTTTCCTTGGTCACGCCGGTTTTTACAGGCGGTTTATAAAAGATTTTTCCAAGATTGTTAACCCTTTGTGTAAATTGCTTGAAAAAAATCACCCTTTGTGTTTTCTGATGATTGCAGGGTAGATTTCGAAAGATTGAAGAAGAGGCTAGTGTCTGTACCTATCATAGTTGCATCTGACTGGAGCAACCATTTAAGCTGATGTGTGATGAAAGTGACCATGCCATGGGAGCAGTACTTGGACATAGAAAAGATAAAATCATGCATCCAATATACTATGCAAGTAGAATGTTGAATGGCGCCCAACTGAATTACACAGTGACAGAAAAAGAGATGCTAGCAGTGGTGTTCGCATTTGACAAATTTCGGTCTTACTTGATAGGCTTGAGGGTAATTGTTTATACTGACCATGCTGCTCTCAGGTACTTAATTGATAAAAAGGAAGAAAAGTCGCGCCTGATTCGATGGGTTCTCCTACTGCAAGAGTTTGACTTGGAAATTCGTGACCGAAAAAGAACGGAAAAACAAGTTTCCGATCACTTGTCCAGGCTTGAAGGAGCTAAAACGAAGGTTGAGGTGAAAGATATCATGGAGAATTTCCCGGATGAACAACTGTTAGCCATGAGACTTGAGGAAGCACCACGGTATGCCGACATTGCAAACTACCTAGCAAGCGGTATTGTTCCCTATGAATTGTCTTCTGTGCAAAAAATAAAATTCTTTAGTGATTGTCGCATGTATTTATGGGATGAACCATATTTGTTTCGGATTTGTATTGATAACATGATCTGGAGATATATTCCCGATATAGACCAAGCTTCTGTTTTGCAGGCATGCCATGCTTTGCCTTATGGAGGTCATTTAGGAGGAGTAAGGACAACTGCTAAAGTTTTGGAGTCGGGCTTCTATTGGCCGACGTTGTTTAAAGATGCACACTTTTGGATAAATAGATGTGATGAGTGTCAAAGGACGGGGAATATTTTCCGTCGACATAAGATTCCCATGAAAATCTATTGTTATAAGGTGAATCTAGTACAAAATTGCCCAATATGGAAGTTCCAACCGTCTCACCTGCTTAGCAAATACACAACATCCCCTAAAAATGATAAAAAGTTCTATTTATACTAAGCTAAAATTTTCGGACAAAAATACCCCTACAGAGGTTACGTGGCCGCGTAATTCTAACCGCGGCCGCACTCTTCCGCTCTTTCTTTAGCGGCCGCATAATTCTAATCGCGGTCCGTGTTCTTCACTTCTGGATCTGGGTTAAGCATGGTTTTTCGGACCGCGTAATTTCTATAGCGGTCGCGTAGGAGACTTTTGCGGCCGCATAATCTTGACAAGAACCGCATTTCTTGTTTTTGCTTAAAATGTAAGCTCTCTGAACCTCAGCAATCGCGGTCTGCATAATTCCAATCGCGGCCGCGCATGTACTTTCGCGGCCGCACCTTGCTGACGCGGTCCGCGCTCATGTTTTAGTCCAAAAATCGATCTCGAAATAGTGCTCGCGACCGCGTTGTAGCTTTCGCGGCCGCACAATCTTTGTGCGGTCCGCGTTTCACATCTTTTGGCCCAGTCTTGGATTTTGTTCAAGTTTTGACTCCTTTATGAGTTGATTATGACTACTTTGGCTCATTTTGAACAGTCCCTACAAGCAAGCATATTACCTTAGTTTCCGGGAATATCTTCACGCATTTTTGGCCCTAAACACAAGTAAAAGAGAGCAAATAATAGGTTAAAATCCCTACTTATCAACTCCCCCAAACTTAAGCTTTTGCTTGTCCTCGAGCAAATAAGGTAATTCTCACCTCTACAAGAAAAATAAAAGGATATTTCAGTTGGCCTAAGGTAACTCCATCAAGCATCAATTGGGACTAACAATTACCCTCAACACAAATGAATTATCAACAACATCATGTTATGACCTTTTGAGTACTATAGTTCTATTGTGACACTAGAGCATCAAGAGTTGACTCAATTCATCAAGGAAGCTCGCTCTATCACGTAGGTCATTGTGGATCCCAAATTCCTCCTCCTCTACTCTCCATGAGAAAATCTCACTTTTTAGAAAGTACCACTCAAAACAAGGATTGTGAAGAAGTGCGCTCATCACTCTCAAAAGAATGCCACAAGTCCGGCTCTAAGTACCATAAGCTTTCCCCTTATGTAAATCACCACTAATGTAAGCTCACTCAACTTGAAATCATATAGGGCTTTAATGGGATGTAATGAAGGCTTTTGGATCAAAGTAGGACTTATCGAGCTATGATGGTTTCATCTTTCCTTAAGCACTCCATTTTCTCATTTCAGCTCATACTTTCTTGACCCTTTGAGTCATTTTCTTCTTCCTTAGGGGAACTAGAGAGACACACCGTCACTTTTTATTACTCATGACAATCATTTTTCTCCTTTTCTCATAATTCCATTCCTTTCATCATTGCGTTCTTTGAATCCCTTCAACCTTCACTTTCTTTTTGACGTATTTCTTTTTGGCTTTTCTTCCTTTTCTTTGCCTTTCCTTTTCATCATTTCTTTTTATTTTTTGAACCTTTTATAACTTTCAAATTCTTCGTCTCTCCCCCAAACTTATGCCTTTTCCAATTGTTCATCATGAATGCTAAGGAAAGATTTGGTGCCAAGAGAGGGTCATTATAGAACGGATAAAGGCTTGTAATGTGGCTATTGAATGAAAAAGGCTTAGGCTCAAAGGGGTTGAATAGGGATATAAAATTGGTAGGCTACGAAAGCTTTCAAAGTTCAAAATGGACCAAGGAGAGCCTACAATCATTTCTCAAGTCGAGCTACACGTAGAATTTCGCCTAGACAAACATTAAGGGCAAGTTCTAGACTTATTGGCATGGGACTTGGACTTGCAATTCAATACCTCACCTCTCAAGCTGCTGGATTGTTAAAGAGAATAGAGTCGAGGGCCCACAACAACCCTAGCTAAGATTGAAAATCACACATGGCTCAAGAAAACCACTCGATGATTGTTTTAGTCAACTCAAGAGTCTAAAGGTCACAACTAGAGCTAATCTTTGTCAATCAACTTGTCTCTAATCATGAGGTCGAAGGTAAATGTGTTAGTACTAAGTGAAGCCTGCTTGAGACACTTTTATTTATTACTACTACTATATACACCAAAACAAAATAAAAATGAACTCGATCCCTTAAGAAGGTTGTCACGCCATCCATCAGTAGGAAGAGCCACTCAGTTCACACAACATCTACCTTTGGAAAGAACTGTGGCATTAAGAAAACAAAAGGCTTATTGTTCACACAAAATGTAAAAAAGAAGATAAAAACTTAAAAAGAAGCTACTAAAGGAAATAAGAAGCTAAGTTATTAAGGAAAAATAACGAAAGAAGTTATGAAGTAAACTACAGAAAGTAATCTGAATATGTACAAAATGGAGTAAATGAATATATACATAATGGAAATGAATATATACATCGAATGATAAAATTATATACATACCAAAAGTGAAAATAACGGTAAATAAAGATAAAGAAAAATAGTATCATAGTTATTACATACCAAATGCCATCACAAATCAAATCAAAATGGACCACCCCCCAAATAAAAAATAGCATTGTCCTCAATGCTAATATCAAAATAAGATCAGGGAAAGGTTAGGGAGTAAAGAGAACTCCCTATGTGGTCTCTGTCTGCATCGGGTCAGGAACATGAGTGGGGTCCTCAGACTGTATAGGATCATCAGCTCCCTCTGTGTCCTCTAACTAGATCTCCACATCCTTTGACTGGGGGACCACGGGGTTTCTGAGCATCTAGATCATCTCCTCAGCAATATGTGTAGTAGCAGTCGGCTCCTCAGACTGTCCAACTGCTGCATCTGATGCCTCATGCACTGGTGCAGGTGCTGTCTCCTCAATGAGCATGTCCAGTGGAATATCACCGGTAGAAGCAATCTTCTGAACCTCTTTGCTCAACTTCTCCACCAAATCCTTAGATGCCTGAGTTTTCCGCATCTTCTTCACCTACTTCCCCAAATCCTTGATAATCCTCCCATGTGTATCAAGAGTTTCCCGGATCTTCTTCTGGTCGTCCAGAATCTTGTTTTGGTTGTGCAGAATCTTCTTCAAAGACTCCTCCAATGATGGAGGTACCTGAAGCTCTGATGGGGCTGAAGACTGTGTTGCTACTGCACTGGATAGGACAATCAGCTTTGTGGTAGCTGCCTGCATCCAGTTGTTGAGGCTGGATAGTGTCTGTGAAAACCGCAGCACAGTCTGAGGGTAGGTGGAAGATGAAGGCACAGATAATGGCATTGTGATGGATGGCCCAGAGGAAGGAAGAGGCATAGCAGCTGCTCCGTTAGAAGTACCGGATGCTGTGGAGGGCTCGACAACTGACCCGGTGGCCACTACCCTTGGCTCTTTAGACTGGCCAGTGGGGGTAATGGCTTTACCCTTGAACTTAGGGTTTTCCGCTCACTGGAGGTGGTACCATGAGAAAGGCTTTTTAGCCTTCACCTCCACATCAAAATGTCTCGGCTCTACCCCTTGGTTGTGGAAATACTCTGTGAGGAAGTTGGGGTAAGGATATGATCTTTCTTCTTTTTGGACTGCATTGGAGATGTTGTAGGACATCAAGTTTCCTACATTAACAAGATAGCCTATCATGATGGAAGATACCCATACTGCCAGGGGGAGTGGAAGGACATTCGCATGATGGCACGGGTCAAGATGGCTGCACACGAATATTGCCCACCCTTTTGCTTCAATGTTAATTGAACTCCTTCTGTGAGCCAAGCAGGTGTTGTCCTCGGAATAGCAAGTATCTCAGCTAGCCATGTGCGAACTGCATCACCCAAGGCTAGCTTCTCCAGGTATTGCACTGCCTCGACCTCCTCAAACCCTACATAACGGTTTAGTGCATTTCCATCAAACCCGATTTTCAAGTTCCGGACCTTCGTCACCTTTGTACCCTTTTTGATGTGGGCAACATTGGCATAAAATTCCTTGACAAGGTATTCATTGGTATCTTTCAACTGGAAGGTAAACCATTTCCATCCTTTTCTCTTCGTAAATTATCGCAGGACATTCGAATTGTGCTGGCCTAGGTCTTTTGTTATGAATTGTCGCTCAAGAGTGAGTGACCTTTGGATCCACCATTCCCGAAATTTTCCATACGCTTTCTCATTTACAAATCTATCAGCACACACCTCCGCCTTCTTTGATC